TCATTCTTAAAATTATATCCGAAAATAAGCACCTCTTATAACAAAAAAAGGGTGCTTAATTTCGGAACTATACGGTATCAATAGCAATAGCAATGGGAAACTTTAATATTAGTTACATACATTCTTTTTCTATATCCAATGGCGTAAAATTTTCTGATACCTTTTCTATAATATTTTTTAGTTGACTACTAGTAACTGGTTTAAGATTATTATATTCTGCCTTCAAATTACTGTCGATAAATTGCTTTGTTTGTTCTGGAATATTTTTTTTGTCAAATCCATTAAGCCACGTCAATACAACATCGTACAACTCATTAATAGTTGGACGTTTATTAGGATCTGCATCCCAACATTTTTTCATCCATTTCTCATATATTGGAGGTGTTCCCTCAATAATATCTGGACGGAAATTTAAATAACAAATTTTATAAGCCAATGTTCCATATTCTTCTTCTGATACGTCTTGGAATGGTTGTATTCCTGAAGTGAGCGACCACATGATCATTCCTATACTATAGACGTCCGCCGCTTGGGTATAGGGCCTTTTAAATAAAACTTCTGGGGCTGTGAATGACAGCACACCGGCCTGACTTCCAAATACACCTATATTAGCCGGAGAACATAAGCCTAAATCAGATATAGAAATTGTCCTACGAAAATTAAGAAGATTTCCCGGATGGAGATCGTGATGGACCAATCCTTTACTGTGGATGTCTTTAAGTCCGTATAATATATGTCGCAAGATGTCCAATCTATTTATCCAATTTAAATTTCCTGACCTTTGCATTAAGTAATTTCTTAAATCTCCCCCATGAGCATAAGTAAAAACCATAACGAAATTTTTAGTTTTAGAATTTTTTGAGATACCATAGCAACGAAGTACTGTACTAGAGGATGATTTTATATGTGCTCCAATCTGAAATAATCAATATCATTAGTGCACAAATAATTTAATACATGTCAGATTTCGTAATATTACCTCATTATAAAATTTTTCACCTATATTTTCTGAATTATCAAGTTCTTTCAAAGCCACAGGCGTATTACTATAATTTCTCTCACCAATGGCATAATCCCAGACACCAAATCCTTCAATCCAATTTGCTTTATAAACAGTCCCAAAACCACCTTTAGCTATAAATTTAATGTCCGTAAATTGCTCATAAGGAATCCACTGTATATATCCATTAGGATACTTTATAGAAAGTTGAGAATCAAGAATAAGATTATCGATTAAGATATTACCACTTGACCAATTTTTGCTTTCATATTGGTTCATGAACTGACTACGATCACAGTGTATGCACCATTTCAGAAAAGCGAATTGTTTATTACATTTTGAACAATTTTGTGGTTGGTTAGGATATGCTGGAGTTCTAGCTAAGCGTGTCCTGTTGAGTTTACGTATAATATTTTTAAGCTGATTACGATAATCGTCAACTTTTTTTTTAGCCGTATTGATGCTACTTTGGTATTTATTTAGATCATCTTTGATTTTACTAAAAAATCTTCTGTCTGAGTCTTTTCGATGAGACCAAAGTCATTATTTGGTGTGTGCAGCTTTTCTAACTGATCAAAAACCTGATTCATACTATTGTGAGCTTTCAGAACATCATCTTCAAGAAGATCAACGAGCCTTTCGCACATACTCTTACAATTTTTAAACTTATCTACACAAAATTTCCAGTTAGAAATGTATGTTTGTGCAATATTATACCTTTCATCTTTGGGCGAATATGGTGGATAAGTTCTATTAATAGATGCTTCTACCGATCTATATTGACCTCCTGCCTCACTGCGATTCACCCATATAATTACTTCGTCATTGAGCTTTGACAAGTCCTTTCGCAATAAATCAACTTCTTGGTTGAGAGAGTAGAATAAGGTTTGATTGGTTGTAAAATTTTCTACATTATTTTTAAACAATCCATCAAAGCCAAATAATAAGGGAAAATTCTCAACACGCTTTCTATAGAATTCCATTGTTAAACTTGTAAGAGTGCAGTGCTTAAAATGAGATTTACATCAATCAACATATTTTAAATATAAAAATTAGGCTTGTATGTTATTTTAAAATACGTAATATTGAAAATCCGGTGCATATCATATTGTACAAACACGTGAATCTGCATGTTTTCGTTACATTAAATTACCATCTATTTGAAGTTGCAACTTTAGATATATAAAGTTGACCTGACTAAAATTAAGCCCCTGAAATTAGATCTTCACGCATATAATTCTGGTTAGATGCAACTTTATATATCTAAAGTTGCAACTTCAGATAGATAGTAACTTTAGATACGACATGTCTGCGAACTAACAAAAAATTTCTAAATTACATTCTTGATAAGATCTTCATAAAAATTGATCATTTTTGGTTAAGTGCATCAAAAACGTAATTTTGTATCACCATAGTATACGGATTTCACAGCAATATTAAACAAAATTGGTGAATCTTCCGCGTATAAATGTTGTTGTGAGCCACTGCAGATTAAAATAATTATAATCCCTTATCCTAACAAAATTTCACTTTAACCCCAATGAAACTCGGTATTAAATGTCGCGGATGATAGCGAAATCGGATGATCGTGAGATTTGGGGACTAGTGTGAAGCCTGACGAACCATGTGATGCTAATTGTCACACGGTACAATATATAAAAATCAACAAACTATTTTGATTTTTATAAGTAATAGTACGTGATAATTAGCCTCACGTGGTTTCGTCAGACTCAACCCGTCTAAAAAACAATGACCCGGGTGACCCAGCGGGTTGACCCGCGGGTCACCCGGGTCATCGGGTAACCCGTTTAACCCGGGTGGACGATTACTTACTCTAATAAATTTTTAGAACTGTGCAGTGTTTTAAACTCCACTTAATTGTATTTTTTCCATCCATCCTTATTCGTTTTCTATCTACCGTATTTTCGCTCATGAGCACTATTTCGAATAATGGCCCGAATTAAGCTTAATTTTGGCCAAAAATTGAAATTACCCCTGTGCGTTATTACGCGAAAATACGGTAACCAGGGTCGCAGAACTCTATCAACCGTAGCATTAAATTGAAACTCTTTAATACAATAATCCATACTTGCACAATCTTCTGAGGTTCACATTCTTGCACCAAGCCTCTGAAACATTATATCCAGTGTTGGCATTGGACATATGTCTATCTAATTTTAACACCATTGGACTGGACTGGACATTGGACATATACTTGGACATAGTCCAGGTCCAATATGTCCAACTTTTAAATACATCCTTAGATCCATTATTCAGGTTCTTTGACCAATCCGATTAAAAATCTCTGATCAGGATATTTAAATTATTTGATTAAGGTATTAATCCAGATTGTTGAATTTAGAATTGAAGCTTTATAATTTTACTAAAAGTCATATTATTGAAAACTAACAGAATCTTAAAATATTATTTGCATACACTTTAAAAATCTATTGTTTTATTAAAAATCAAAAGAATAATCTGATTTTCCACGATTTTACATATTAAATTATGATTATACCTTTTTGTAAAGTGTGATCTTTTTTTAATTCGAATTTCAACGTATTAATTCTATTTCTATTTACAAGATAAAAATTGGTTACCAAATTATAATTCTTGAAATAAGTTTTGCCAACTTATTTCTATATAAATAAAATACACTTTATTATATGTTATATATTGTCTAAACTGCGCTAATAAATAAAGAAGAATATAACCTCAAATAATTAATATTGCGCATACTTATTTATTTATTTATTTTTCTTTTTTTTAAAAAAAACTAAGCAATACATTTCATCTTAAAAGCTACTATAATATTTCTCTATTTATTATCAAATAGCTAACTATTTGCAAAAAATAGTGCTTTCAAATCAGATAAAAATAAACTATTCAATGGCCACTTAGCCTTCTGATCTTTTACCATATATTTTTCATTAACTACTGATTCATTATTATTATTAGTTGATTCTGAACTTGATAAATTACTTTCATCATAATCATTGTCAAAAATTGATATCCAGAATTCTTCTTTATCATCATTCGCATCTTCAATTCTGTGTAGCTATCTTCATTATCAGTATCATCTGCAGGACAGTCTAATAAAAAAGTTGTTGAAGTAAATTCATAAAGCCTTTTGATTTTGTTCAATTTCTGAACCTGACAATTTTGATTGAGAATTTCACGTAGTTGACTAATTGCTAATATCTTATGAAACTATAAATAATATAAATTAATTAATGATCCTCCAGTCAACTAAAACATGATCTTAGTAAAATGTGACTCAGATTACTATATAAATTTACTATAGTGCAAATGTGGCAAACTTTTTTTCATACTAAGTTAATCGCCTTTTTTGCTTAAGAGACTTTTGTAAAGCTTGTCAAGATGCATCTAATAGTGGTTATAGCGTCAAAATTAGCCTGGTAAGTACTGAGACATCTTTAAAAAATCTTTCTTTTACTATATAAATTTCTTTGCAAACAATACTATTGTTTGTAAAAAAATTTACATAGTAAAAGAGAGGTTTTTTAAAGATATCTCAATACTTACCAGGCTAGGCTGATTGATTAACTTAATATAAAAAAAAGTTTACCTTGGGCAAGTGCTACATTTGCACTATAGTAAATTTATATAGTAATCTGAATCACATTTTATTAAAATAATGCTTTAGTTGATTGGAGGATCATCAATTAAATAAACAAAATAAATAAAATAATGAAATAATAAATAATAAATAAAATTTATTACTAGTAATCTATTATAATGATTAGAGTGAATAAATCTTATTGAAGACCAAAGTCATTTAACAGATGCTGCATTTATACATATTCTATAAATTTATAATGCTACCTGACCTGACCTAGCTCTTTAGTGATGCACAATAGTTCCAGTATTCAATTACTTTTGTTGCTAAATTGCCTTGATGTTGTGGCATTAAATAATAATTTTTTTGGCAAAAAAGTTCAAGTTCTTGCAAAATTGAAGTTGGTTAGTTGTAAAACCATTCAGAATAATAATATAAACCAAATTCATCTATATTATCACATGTTAAATTTTCTAATTCAGGGTTGAATTTATCCATTTGATATATAGAATGAAGAACAAAGGATAATACTAATAATAGTTGCTTCCAAGAATTCTAATACTTTTCTAAGCAATTTAAAAGTTGTTGGCTAAAATAAATATCTTGATATTTTTTAATCATTTTAGCTAAGTATCAAAAGAGTTTAATACTTCAAAAAGTTATACTTTGTTACATTGTAACAAGTTAAAACAAGCACAATAAGATAACAATAAAGATTTGATATTTTTTATTTGCCACCACCAGTTATCATCATTTATAATATTATGAAGAATTTTGAAAATCAGAAGACTCATTATTACTAGAATCATTACAAGATATATATCTTGCAACTAATATTTAAAAAAATATATATTATAATTAATTTTAAATAAATATTTGTTAATTTAATTAAATTTACTTTAAGAGCTTCTTTTGTTTTAAAAAGACTTTCTAAACAATAGTAATATGAATTTTATCTTGTTATGCCAGGTTTAATAAGAGTTACATATTTATAATACAAAATTTCTTGCTGTTTTTACAATTTTCTAATAAAATAAGCATGGCTAATATTTTCAAAATATTTTGCTATGATAGTTGTATTATCAATATTTTTTTTAAAGATTTGAGATTCTTTGAAAATTTCACTGACATAAATTAATTTGATAAGTGAAACATGGCAAAAAAATTTTGTCTGTATGTTTTATTTACAATTTTTTTTTATAAATTAATTTGTTTAAAATAAAATCTATATACTAAAAATTTGTGTGTGTAATGATAATGCTTGCATAGTGTAATAGTAGATCACTGGAAATCGTCTAATTGGCTACAAACATATTAAATTTTTTGAATTTGGAGTTTTTCAATAAAGACTTTTTTCTTTACTAAGTACCCTTTTTCAATAACTAGAAAGGTTGTAGAGGAATGTCTTGTGATCAAAATGGTAGTTAAATCGTTAAAATTGGCATAGTAGATCACAAGATACAAGTATTTTAGTTTTTGTGACTATATGAAGTCTTTGCAATAGAAAGGGCTGATACTGCCAAAAAATGAAAATCCAGTTTTTGTTTTTTGTTTGTTTTTTGTTTTTTGTTTTTTTTTTTTTTTTTTTTTTTTTTTTTTTTTTTTCCTTCGGCAAGTCCTGCCAAGACTTTATACCCCTCCAGATACATACCCAACCCAAAGGCTAGTTACTGCATACATTTTTCCTGCACGGGGTCTGGTCTGAACCTCTAGTACCACTTTGGATACTCGGATTCGACCGCCTGCACTAACGTCCAGAGATGTTGGATCACCTTTCTATTGTACTGGGATTTCACCAGCCAATCCGGTGGCGCCACAAGTTCTTGTAGTATCTTTATCAGACTCGGTCTCACATTCCATCTCGCGACTTCGGTTATTTCAAATCGGGGTTCTAACACGCCTCGCTTCATAGCCACAACTTCTTAGAATAACTATTCCCCAAATACGTCTATCCGTAGATATCCCGGGTTCTCTGTACCCCGCGGTGTTTCACTTCTGTTTTCGAATTTTTATTAATCTGATATTGGGAGGAATTAAACCAGCAACCATCCGATTTGCAACCTGGGAGCATAACCGCTATGCTATCGACCCACAGGTCTGTTTCTTAATATTACTTTATGTTTTTTAATGTTTCTTAATGTTTATTAATATTTTTTATTATTTCTTATTGTTTCTTATAGTTTCTTATTATTTTTTATAGTTTCTTATAGTTTTTTATTGTTTTATATTCTTTTAATATATATTGTAAAAGCTATATAAACCCTAGCTTTTACCCTTTTTTTAACTTTAGGATTTATTTTTTGCAATGTTTTAAAATATTAGAATTCTATAGGAATAAATACCTATAGATAGCTTTGTATCTAAATATTGTATTATAAATAAATAAACATATCTTTGCTCTAAGTAAACCATGTCTCTATGCTTCTAATGAATATACCAAACTGTCCTAGTAAAAAAACATTCCACTTCCACACCACTTCATATCTCACCTTGTTGTTTTAGAGATTCCTGTTGCTGTGTACTATGTTGTAGGTGGTAAATTAAGAAGACTATCCCACTTGTAACAATATATATAGTAAAGTTTATTTTCATATCAAAAACCCTGCAAATGAATTCTTTGATACATCACTGAATAGTATTTATGGCCTATTAAGATCACCTTTTTTCTTAACCTTCTTCTTCTAGCTTTCTGAGCAGAAGGATTTATAGTCTCCAACCGATTTATGAAAAAAAAAACTAATACTAACAAAAAAAAAATAAAGGGAATAAAACAAAAGAAGTGAAAGAAAAAAATATCTAAGCAACAAAAAATAAATAAAAAAACAAATAAAAGAAGAAAAAGACAAAAAAAAAATAAATCTATAAAAGTACTATTATAGCTTGTACTAGGTACAATTGTAAAAATTATATATCTAATTAAATTTAAACAAACCTAATTTTTAAATTTAAAAATCTTGTATATCTCTGTTGTAAAGCTATATATTATTATTAGAATTTTTTTCTGACTATCATATTCAATTTAGGTTGGTTTGTTAACCAAAGTGCCGATTGGTTTGTCATATAGTGTAGGGTCATTATTGCCGAAACAATCCCAAGTTTATGTCCTACTTTATTCATCTGAAAATGGAAAGATAATACTGATCTTTTGAAAAGGTTAAGAAAAAAGGCCTAAATGTTTGTCAAAAAGGTTGGAAAAGTTGGAAAAATACGAAAAAAAAAAAAATACTTGAAACATATTAAAGGAGTGTGAGTTTCCTTTACTAGAATCAACTATACACCCAAGTTTGCACAGTACTAAGTCTTATTGATGAGTAATAAACTTTAAACTTGTTAGCAAGTAGCATATAAGAACTACTTCTAAATGACAAGTGCTATGCCTCTAGTTAGTAAGTAATAAACTCTAAGGTTGTTAGCAGATAGCATATAAGAACTACCTCTAAATAATAGCTGCTAACTTAGAGGTTCATTTTCCCATATTTTATATACAAGTTATTGACTTTACTCTAGTATACTGTTTTTTTTTCCTAGTAAAAAGTTTTTTGAAAAATGTAGTCTAAATGATTATCAGAAAGAGTTACCTAGCCACTAAATACCAATATAAAATAAGCAATAAATCAAATATTACTTACTATCTAGAACTTTGACATATTTAATACATTAACTAGACTAAATACAAAATTTTGACAAGATATAAGTAGAATATTAGGTATTTATAAACTCAATATTTGGCACATATTGCTCTGATAGTTATATTAGAGATCTGATATTTCTATTAACAAAATATCAAATATCTGATATTTTATAATATAAGTATCAGATATCTAATAAGCCTATTAGATGCAATATTAATTCAATAGGTTGCAATTAGGCCTCCGAATAGGCCTAGGCTACCAATAGATATCTGCGAATAGTACTATAAAAGCCAGATTAGAGTATTGATTTCTGAACTTTAGGTAAGGTAAAGATTTAAAAAATAAAGCTCTTATACAAACGAGTAGAGCTAAGGTAGAGCTAGGATAGTATTATAGGTATCTGTTAGTTGTTCATCATATATCTATTGAATATATAAATAATGCTAAAAAAAAAAGCCATACTTGAACTTTTTATAATATACTAAACTTAGGCTGTTCTCAAGCATCTAAATCAATTAATTAAAGAATAATAGTAATGATGCTCAAGCATTACAATCAATAATGATATTTATAAAATTAAATACTTGAGTATACTCTTTTTCTATTTTTTATGATCTTTATTATACTATCTAAAATATCTAAAAAGTCTAATAAAAAAATTTTGTTTAACTAACTACCGAATCTTCAGCTTCATTTATATTGGCTTCTTCTTTTAATAGTTTTACCAATATTAACCTTTTGTTACAACAGCAACAACTTATAAAAATATTGGTGAAAGTTGCTTTACAGTAACAAGAAGTAAAAAAAAAAATTTATTAAGTTTATATGAGTGAAAAGTGGAATAGCAATATTAATTATGGCTTGGTTAAATGTTAAAAAATAAGTTGTATTAATTATGTTCATATTAAGATATCAACTATTTGTTTTAAAAGCTTCAAGCATTAAAAATAAAAAAGCTATTTTTTTAAACCGATTAGAAATTTGTTGTGAATTTTGTTATAAATTCATTGTTTATTATGTTTGATATGATAAAATGTAAAAGTAGTGCTTGAGCGATCTTTATCAATAGTAAATTTTTAGAAAAAAAAGGTGGGTTGTATTTTGTTAATTTGTTAATCGAATTGATAACTTACTTGATTGATTTATTTAATTTCTAACTAATTAAAGTTTTATGTTCGATCTATTGAGTACTTAAGAATAGCTTTAATTATATAAACTTTTTTAAAAACTGATTCTGATAAATTATAAGTTTAAGTTTCAAAGTCTAATTTTTTTCTTGGCACTACTCATTAATATTGTTTTTAATTACTAGCATTTTTTTATAAATTACAGGAATTTTAATAGTGATAGTATATAAATGTTTTTTTATCTACACAATTCATTTAATATTCATTAAAAAAATATATATTAATCGACCTTGTTGATTAACTTAGTATAAAAAAAAGTTTTCTTTAAATAATTGTCAAAAAATCTTTACATTTTTTGTTTATATAATTTACATAGTGATTTGCATCATGTTATACTATGATTATACACTAGGTGACTGGCGGATCTTCAATTAAATGAACTGCATATAAAGCATTCTACCTTAATTACAATAAGCTTTTTTGCTTCAGTGATTGTTAATAATAACTAAATGCTATATTTTTTATATAATTAAAAGTATAATAAGAATAAAGTTGAAGCAATGCCTAAAATATAATACTGTAGTATCTGAAAGAAATATATTTATATTTGTCTTTTAAAATTACGAAATTTATATTGATAATTTCTTTACCAATTCTATATAATAGCCAGGAGTTCCAAAAGACCTTTGTCTAACTAATATTTTTACTATAATAATACAGTCATACCTTCATATAATTACCCATTTTGGCTAGCATTTTTTGGTGATTATATAGAGGGGGGATTAAATAGAATTACCTCTATATAATCACACAATATAAAATAATTAAAATAATGTGATTTTAAAAAAGTAAATAATAATAAATAATTTTTTATTTACAAATTTTAAATTCTATTTTTTCTAAAACTTTGATCAAGGATATCTCAACAACCGTTTGATCAAATTTAATAAAAATTTTTTTATTTAAATTCTTGAGATCTATAGTATTTAAAT